TCCCTGAGATGGTTTGCAGCAGCCCCAGTTGCACTAGCCCAGGGGGTCTCAGACATGGTCCAGCCAAGTGGGAATCAGTTCCTGGGGCAGGAGAGCAGGATGGGCTGCAGGCGGATGGGGACGATGCTCCTCACAGGATCAGCAGCCCCTGCCCACCGCCGCTGCAGAAGGGTCATGAGCAAACACACCGGGTGCCCTGGGAAACTGTGAAAGGATTCATAGACATCGGGCCAGAAGAGCCCATTAGATCATCTTTTCCTCACTGAGGGCCAAATGTGATTTTCAAATATCTTTTGAAGCCGCACACTGGCACACCCCGTAGTATTAGAAAGTCTACATTTTCAGCAAGGCACTGATACCCAGGAAAAAAGGACCAGGTTCAATTTCAAGGCTCTTGTAGTAAAACCACACTCACCCATTATCTAATAACCTTGGAAATTGAATTACGATGTCTGAGATCTAAAGCATGAATGATAACTTCCCACTGCCATGCAATTTAGACAAAAATACTGAACCCAGGGGGCCCTTAAGACTTCCCTCCTTCCAGCTGTTAGATGTCCAGGATGGTCTTTTCTCCCCCTCCCCTTAGGAGTCCATGGGATCCTGTCAGCATCAGCAGGACTGACCATCTCTCCCTTTCCCTGTGGATGGTGGGTAGAGGGGTCACGGAAAGCAGCAAGAGGCAAAGTGACAGGCTGGTCCTCATGGGATGGCACTGGGCCCCACTCCATGGAAGCAGCACATGCAGCAGGTACTAGGGATGGGCAATAAGCTGTGGACCAGAACTGGCAAGGGCAAGATGTCTCATCCAGAGAGGGATGGCAAGTATCGCAAAGCCGATGTGGAGCAGGGTAAAATCTAAGCCTGATCCAGCCTGAGGATGAGCGAGCTGCCGTTGCTGACACCCGACTGCAGGATTTCAGCTGTGTCCCCTTTGGCAGAGCCCCACAAGCTGCCTTCCACCATCACAGACCCAGAGATGCATCTGGTCTCTGTCAAGAGATATCAAGAGCTGGAGAAGCCACCATTTCTTCTGCTTATTTATTCTGGTTGTTAATCTCCTTTGGCTGATTAAAAGTTTATAACTCATTTCTCAGTTGAATTTGCCTGGAGTTAAGTCCCAGCCATTGGTTCTTGTTATGCTTTTCTCCGGTGGATTAAAGAGCTCTGCCGTGCCCAGGATTTCTGCCCATGATGGTACTTACACTTTGTAATCACATCATCCTTTGATCTTTTTGATCAGGCCACCAGGCTGAGCTCCTCAGTCCCAGAGAGATCTCTTGGAGATAGCAGCGGTGAACAGAAACACTGATTTTGTGCTAGACTGGCTCCACACAGAGCTGAGTGCATGAGACCAGGTTCCCCTGTTTAACATCACTGACGCAGGAGCACAGGCCATGAATATGGGTGAGGGTTTGGAGATTAAACCATTTGAAAGCATTAAACAGATTCCCCAGTCTCTGTAACAATGCGTTATTTTTCAGGGAAGATGGCCAAACTACAAAACTTTGTACCTTTTCAATATTTCCCCTCCTTGTGAATTATACAGGTGTTTCTTTCCTCAGCCTCTTCTGCTTTACTCACCGTACTTCATCCTTATGCAAACACAACAATATTTACAGTCTTATCCTGGTTTAGATTAAACTACACTGAAGTTGCCAGCCTCTCCCTCGGGATCTGTGTAAAAACAATCGTGTTTCTTTATGCAAGCTCCGGGATCAGTAGCTGTAACAGCAGGACACCAGCCGGGTGGCGGGCAGGGAGCACAGCCTGGAGAGGAGCTGCTCCGCGGCTGACGGCAAGTACCTGCCCCCAGCCTGCACACATAGGGGACCAGTGATGGTGGGGTGTGTGTCTGGGTGTGTGTGTGAGTGTGTAAAAGAGGGATGCAGGGAGCCCAGAAGCAGATGCAGAGGAGAGGCAGGCTGTCAGCCAGCATGCCAGACCACACGGAGCGGCTTTGACAGAAGGAGCAATTTGGAAGGGCACCAGAAAAAATTTCGTTTTGAATTGGGAGCAAATAACTGTCCCTCGTTGCATGGGTCATCCTGTGCCCAGTACACTCTCTATAAGTCTGTAAAGAAAGGGGATTGCATTGAGGAAATAGCTAAATTCATCTTCAGTTTCTTCTCCTAATAAATATAATCTGCAGGATCAAAAAACCTAGCTATGTACTCAGGTTGGAAGAAGGTAGTGGCATTTGACCAGTAGCAAAGTAAACAGAGAAACTGAGTTTGCAGCGGTACCTTTGGCAGGGACATGTTGGTGCTCCAGGATGTCTCTTGCATTCACTGTGCAGCTGGATTTGGCACCCCTGGCTTTGTTCGTTGGAGTTGGGGGTGTGGGGCTGGAGATCATGGAGGAGATCATGGAGCAGAGGACCAGCTCTCCTCTCTGACCTCATGAACCTCATACCAACACTTTCAAGTCCCTATAGCAGATACAGAGACAATTTGGTTTTCCAGAAGTTTTCCAGAGTTTTTCCAGAAGATGACAGCAAAGCTTCCAGCTTCACTGTAGGGATGGCTGGCTGGACACACAGCTGGGTTTGGGGTGGTACATTAACACTGACTCCAACAGCCCCAGCTGCCTTGTTCTATCCCCATGCACGCATGTGGATCACCCGGCAGCCCGGCTCTCGGTGCTGTGAGCCATGGCCTGATGGTTCTCAAGCTCTCATGGCCCACAAGCCGCACATCAGCCAAGTGACCATCCCTGTTCTAGCAGTGGCTTCTTGACCCTGATCCCCTGGTATCACTGACCTCCCTTGCAGCTGAGAATAGTGATTGCAACATCAATTAATTAATTTATTTTGCATTTTTTTCTTTAAGAATGAGTGAATTAGTTTTTTAATGTAGGGTAGTGCAAATATGGTAAATGTTATTGCATAGCAGCAGCAACTTAAAAACATCCAAGAGGAGCTCTTTCTCTCTCTCTCTCTTTTTTTTCTTTATGAGTGGAAAAAACGTTAAAAACAAATCTCTTAATTTGCTTGTAGGCTGAGATTTCTGCCAAGTGAATATTTATGTCCAAGTTTGAAAGATGGGGCATATAATGGAAGTGTTGAAATACTCTCAGGCAATCCAGAGCTGTTTGATGACATACTCTACAAGGTCAGTCCTGTTTGCTGTTAAAATCAGTGGTAAAACTTTCTTTAAATTCATGGTGAAACAGGATCAGGCCCTTTATTTAATTTGTTTCTATCTTGCGAGGAGGTTTCTTGTTCCTCTAAAATGTGCCTATAGATGATCTCATGATCCCTGTTGTCCATGTGTGCTGGCAAGGTCCTCAAGTGGTTACAGTGCTCAGACATGACAGCGTGCCAGATTACCTGCAGTCCTCGAGTCACCAGGGGGGCTGCAGGTTGGGGAATACTGTTTTTTCATAAGAATTACCAAATTTTCCCTGTAAATACTACCTCCTAGATATAAACAGAAATTTTGCTTTCATCAAGAAAACAAGGAAAACATACTCTCTGCCTTTCTTGGGATTTCAGATGGATATGGTTGAAAGCAATTTCTTACTCTGTTTCCAAGGAAAAATGAAGTTGGACACCTAGATTTTTGCCTTAAGTGAAAGGGGAGACACAGGCTATCGATCACACCTCAGGCAAGGCAGCTGCCCTGTGTCCTCAGAGCTCTGCCATGAGTCAACTACATATGTTGCTGAGGAAGATACCAGAGGTTTTATGGGACGTGTTTTGACAGAACTGTGGCCAATCGCATCCAGAAGTGAGCACAGTTCCCCTGTGTTTCTGTATCTGCTCCAGGACTCTGGCACTAACATTCAAGTATTTGAGATATCCACCAGCTCCAGAACACACGGAAAATGTGCAACTAAGTCACAGATGAAAATTTTGGCCTTAATTCCAAATTAGAAATTGCCCCAGATTTTCCTTAGAACGGGAACGAATAGGTTCTTCCAAAGATTAAAGTATATTTTCTGTTAGGATCTGGCATTTTGGTTTGTATGAAATTTTTTGGTGAAGTGGCGATCATCACACATTATAGTGTCCGCTCTTGGCTTAATTCTCTAGACCTAGTCTTGGATTTCAAAGCTCGGCAGGATTTTGATTCAGAACCCATCTGCTGACAAGAAATACGTTGCTTTGGTTTTTTTCTCTTTTCTCCTTTTAAACACAAGAACAGCCACCCCAACATAACAAAAAAATACTCCTTTGTATTTTTGTGCTTTCCCAAGCGTTCAAAGAAGACAACAGACAGAGCTAATGCTCATCTGCGGTGACAGCCACCGCCACCACCACCATTTCTCTTTAACCCTCTCTGTCCCTGCGTCAAATGCTCCCAGCTGCGAGTCGCAGCCGTTCCCACACCAGACTTCTCCTTCCACTGCACCACAGCCTTTCCTCTGTGCACAGCTGGGGACCGCTGCAGAAATCCAGCTGCAGGACCCGCTGGTTGTGGCACGAGCAGGCGAGAGAGTTCGCTCACCTCCTTTGCCCCAGCAGCCGTGAAAAAAGGGCTGTGCAGACCTTTGACTTTCCTCAGGGATAGCTTATATTGCTCAGCAGATACAAGTTTTACCTAGTAAGATCCTGGGCTGTGTTTTGCTGCATTTTTATTACAAATATATAAATAAGGGGTGCTGGACAGCTTGCAGGTTTGCACCCTTTTTTGAGGTCTTCCCTTTTTTACTTTCTTTGAAAACTCCAGAGGAATTAGCTGCACTCAAAGGTATTGCTATCTACCCAGCTCCTGACCCTCACCTTCTGCCCCATTCCAGTTGCAGTTTCACCCAAACATGTGAAAAAAAAACCCTGGGGAAAATATTTTGGGTCTGGACCACACATGAAAAAGGAAAGTCAAGTTTGTTACTTAAAAAAAAAAACATGCTATGTTGTTAAAGTTATTTTATACCTTGTGGAATACACTGGGTTTGCAAATACTGAGAAGTGTTGTGCAGCAAGGGGGAAGCTCTGCCCTTGCAGGAGAGGAGAGGCAGCCCCCGGCAGCCGCAGCAGAGCTGAGCTGGGGACTTTCTCACAGGTCACATCCTTCCACCCACTCAGACAGGTCTTGTCCCTTGCAGTGCATTGCCCAGCCCTTCCTGAGGACAGAAGAAGCAAAGAGACACTATTTAGGTACTAGACTGATACCATTCATATCCAATACGAGCAGGCTCTGTTTTCTGTAGGGTCCTTTCCATGAGGGACCTCCCGTCACTAGCCCTGGAGAAGGACTTGCAGACCCTCCAACTCTGGCTGAGCATCTTGCATTGAGGAGTGCAGCCGTCACTGTCTCATGATGCCACCTGAGCTCTCTCTAAGTCCTGGCCAGGAACAACGAATTGCAATGGCAGGTCCTGCCACCTCTTGCCACCTCCTTATCTGGGACGTCGCAGCTGAGGACAGCGTGTTGAGTGTGCAGCGGACTGTGCGACAGCGATGCTCACCACAGGGGCCCTGAGACCTTTCGCTGCGTATGCCGCACAAATGGCTTACCTCACCTCTACTCAGAAACGCTGCTGCTTTTGCGGTGAGCCAGGCTTCGCAGCACCCCACCACAGGAAGCAAAACCAGCTAATGAGTCCAACTGCAATGGCAGGGAGGGGGCGGGGGGAATCTGAAGGCAGAATCTTGTCCCTCAACTCGGAATGTATTCAGGATTCAGTGGTTAACGCCACTATTTTTGCACAAAATGCCTTGGGACTTCAAACAACCACATATTTATATGATCGTTGGGATTGTCTTCTACCCCCACTTCTGTTTTCTCAGCCTGTCGGTTACTCTGCCTTTACAGGCTTCCTATGTGATAGCAGCCCGGAGTCCCAGGGGTGGTTCAGGGCTGCACCAAGCAAGGGCTGTCATCTAGATTCATCAGGATATTTCAGTGATTAATGCTCTGAAATGATCTGGGAAGAATTGCTTCCATGCTAGGTGCTTCCAGCTAAGATAGGAGACAGCAAAAAGTGCGGGAAGGAGCTCTCTAAAGGACCTTGAAAGCATAAGACAGAGAGAAATCTTCAAGGGCTAACCTACTAGCTCATGGGCTGTTTACTGACCATCTATTTTTCACCTGAGTTTTTTTCTGCTCCTTCCTCCCTAGTCTCTCCTGCGAGATGCTTTGCGGAGACTGAAGCGGTGCAAGTTTGTTTTTCCATTGCCACTCATTTGCAAAGCCTTGAAGTTGTGGATCCTCCTCTTTGGTGCGGCTGTGCTGCCTTTGTGTGACAGTTGGGCAAAGGGCAGCCATGCCCCTTCAGAAACATGCGTGAGCCCTGCCAAAGAAACCGACCTCGAAACCCCTTACCAGGCATACATTCCTTGTGGGTTTCTCGCAATTCTTTTGGCACAGATGATGTCATCAGTAATGTTACTCAATAGCAGTAACACTGTGAGCTCACTCAAGGGCAGAGACCAGCCTGGAGCAGGGCATGGTGAGGGCTGGGCACTCGAGCAGCCCTGGGCAGCGGTGCGGGGCTCATCCTCCCCACTGCTGGGCTGCTGTCAGCCTCACGTGCTTGAACGCCGCCAGGCAGGCACCCTCATCTGCTTCCCCATGGCCAGCAACAACCATAAATATATGTTTTCCCCCACAAATGCTGGCATGCCTGCCTCTGTAATCACATGTGAGAGAGAGATGGAAGGAGGGGGAAAAATGGGAGCAAACCCGTCTATGCTTACGGTATTTCAATCCCTTCCTGCTTGTTCTACTGGGAAAAAAAGCTATTAGGGAGCTTTTCTGCCTATCTGGAAAATGAGGTTTTGGTCTGAACAGGAATGGGAGGTCCAGCCCCAGCCTCCCAGAATTTGAGTTTTGTCATATAGCAGGATGTCTGCTGGTCAGACTCAGCAAAACCCTTCCCATGTCTGCTTAGGAGCTCCCCACTGGTGGGTAAACCTGGAGCCAAGACCTGGATCTGCCTGGCAGTAATACAATCTTGGGTCGCTTTCCTAACTACTCACTCCACAAGCAGGGGGATGCATTTATCTCATTCAGCCACACATCACAACCCACCCAACTCAGGACTGCCTATCTTCCACCCACAGTCAAAACACTCAGAGAGCCCTGAGGTCCCTAGTATCCCAGGAGAGGAAAGGGTGGATAGGGCCATTCATCACCCCCACCTTCCTGCAGCCATGGACATCTTGTTCCCCAGGCTGTGCCCAGCATGTCCCCACAGCTCTATTTTGGCCGCGGGGTGAAGTTGGGCAGAGTGGGAGGGCTTGGGCTGCTGCCTCCGTTCCTGGGGCTAGCTCTGGAGGAACAGTGCCATGGTACCCCTGCAAGCCATTCTGCAGCGGTTATCTGAGGTGCACCACTGCTGGCTGCTGATCTGGAAGATGCTGTAGTTGGTACTGCCGTCCGCTTTGATGCTCTGTGCTGCTGTGTTGAAGGTGCTCTCGTAAAAGGCCATGCAGAGCCCTGGGCAGGGGCAGAAGGCACTAAGGCTGTACCCATGGCTGCCGTCCATGGGGATGGTGGCAGCCAGCAAGGAAAGACTGTGGGGGGACAGGGGACTGAAACTCACAGCTGGCAAGGCTGTAGCCCTCATAGCCATCCAGCCCCTCTTCCCCCTCTTCCTGGAGCAGGTAAGCCAGCTCGCACTGGCTGAACACCTTGGCTTTCGTGACTGCAGTCAGCAAGGCCAGTAGCAGCAGCAGCAGGGGAGAGCCCATTCCTGCAGGGCTGCTGGTCCCCGCGTACTGGGATCCCCAGAGGGAAAGGTGAAAACAAGGTGTAAGCAGGCAGTAAAGCACAGTTAGACGTCCAAGGCCAGCTCCCCAGCAGGTAGTGACACAACTAGCTCTGGCGACCCCAGGCTGCTCACGCCTGCCCTTGGGGCGTGCACACCCGCACATGCAGGCATGCACGTACATGTGCTGGACAGCCTGGGCCACAAACAGGTTTTATCGGTGCAGACGTGGAAAATACAGAGCTTCAGGCACTGCCACTCTGCAGTTTTCGTATATTAGTGGTCAAAGGTCAGGTGTCCCGTGAGAACTGGAAAGCTGACAAATGGGACCCACTAAGAGAAGGGTTACATGCTTTAGCTGCTCAGACATCTTGGTGCTGGTCAGCCTCTGAGCAGAAGCCGTGATGTGCAGTGACCTCATTGCTGTTGGGAAGCCATACCCAAACTCACTAACCCTTAGCCCCGGTTTGCACGTCAGCCTTTTACACAATTACCAGCACGCACAGCGAGTCACATCCTACAAGTCCAGGGAGTTTGTCCAAGAAAAGACCTCAAACCTGGGTTTTAATAAACAGAATTAAAATCCTTTCCTTGGGGTTATTTCTCTCTCATTCCTCCTTTCTTCCTTTCCATGCACCCTCTTTTACCAAACCTGCCGGGCGGTTTGCTTTCTGGCCGCGCAGCGCTGAGCAGTGCCGCAGCCCCGGCAGGCTGTGCCCCGGTGCCCCTGCAACCAGAGCCATTTGCAGCCCTGCAGAGCGGCTTGCAGCAAGGGGCAGAGGCAGGAGGTACCCCCCGCGCTGCCTCCGGTGATCGTCCTCTGCGGGCAAGGGCAGTAGGGGCTGCTTAATAAAAACCCCATGTATACCTAGAGAAATCGTTACCTCCGGCAACACGGCTCAGCGCCAGCCCTGGGGTGAGCATCAGGATGTCCCCCAGCGACCGCTCACCCTTCCAGACCCCCCCTGGCCCCGTCACCAGGGATGAAGGCCCACGAGCCTGCGCCACACCATGGGACTTGGGACCCAGCCCAGCCAGGGAGCACTGCTGCCGTGGCTGTGCTTTTCAGGGACAGCCTCCTGGGGCTCATTTTCTGCTTCACCTGAAAATTATTCCTGCACGCGAGTCTACCAGCAGGGGTATTTTTTATATTTTAAGCTCATATTGCAGGATATTTGCACAGACAGAGAAATATCACCTTCTCACTGAGAATAATAGCAGAACTGTTTCCAATGCCTCCAGCTGGGCAAGGGTGTGATCCTGTGAACAAAAATCAAGTAAACTTGTGTCCAAAATGCTTTTAATTTCTAGAGAGAATTGCCCACGAATAAGTGGCAAACCAAGAATTACCACACAGATCGATCAACGAGCAGAGCAAGCAATGTATTACACGTTTGTACTGAGTTAGAAGCTGTAAAGACAATTAGTGAGAGGGTCTTCCAGTCAAGGCAGTAAAAAGAAATATGAACATGCCCGTTTTCCTCGGGTTTGTGGCAAGGACCAGAAGAAATTTTCTGTTCGCCTCAGAGTGGTTGGTGCCTGCTCCTGGCGTGTCAGCACCTCCAGCTGAGTCAACGAAAGCCACTTCTGCCCCACGGGCTGGTGCCACGCGGGGCTGCACCAGGGCCTGGCCACACAGCAAGGCGGAGGCGTTTATTCACTCTTGTCTTACCATTCTGGTATCTCTTTGTTTTCGGTCATGAACACTAATAAACCCAATGAATATTAGAAAATCACTTAGAAGAGGAGCAGCGGAAGGAATCTCCCCCTTATGGGAGCATTTGCTTTAATTTAAACTATCTAAAGATAATAAATAACAGGGCTCCATAACGACATAATTTGCTCATCTTCTTGGTCTCAAAGTATTTTTTAACAAGCAAAATGAGGTTTCAAACATGTCTGTGATATCTCCTCTGGATTAAATATTAATCGTGATGCCAAAGCAATAAATAACAGAAATCCTGCCTGGTTGTTCTGACATGCAAGTCCTTAATTGTGTGGGAAGCTGCTCAGTGGAGATAAAATGCCACAGAGCCAGTACAGTATCTGTGTTGCTACAAGATTTACAGCTCGATTCCCTGCCTGGAAACAAAGGAACAAATAGCTGCATGTCACGCACTGAACTGAAACATTATGGATTATATTATTACTTGAGTTTCTACAGGACTTCTCAGTGGGGGAAAAAAAATTCTATTAACTCTCTTTTACGACTACCAGCAGGGCAACGTGAAGAGAATAATCTCCTCCATTTATAAGGTCTGGGGGCCTTAAAACCTGAATAGCAGCCCAGGAGCTTTGTCACAAGGTCTGGCTGTTTCCTTTCCTTCATAAAATTCCTATCTCCATTAATCTGTGTTTATTTTCCTTCTGCTTTTTAATTTGCTTAATGGACTTCAGCCGAAGTCTCCTAGAAGTCAGAGGAAAGTAAACTCTGATAAATCCTTTGGGACTTAATAGTCACAGTTAAGCACTTCTTTGGATTATTTTGTCTGACTTTCATCTTTGCTGCTGCAGAAATGTCGGCTGCTTAGTACCGCAGCCCTAACCCCATGACTTAAGAGCCTGGGAATGAACCGACAAAAGATATCCCTCTTTCTTTCTTTCTTCTTCTGCAGGCATGGAAATACAGCAAGACTAGACTTAAGCTCATAAAAGGCAACCGGGGTGTCCTCCACGTGTTTGCCCCATACAGAAAGCATGTTGCAGGCTCAATGCTCCTCAAACTGCCAGTCTCTGCCGGTCTCTCCCATCCCCAGGCTTCGGTTTCCAGGGGCAGAAGGAGGAAGCCCCAGCTGGGCGGGAGCTGCTGTGCATGGTACTGGACCCAGGCTGAATGCTGGGGAGCACAGCCCCGTCTGGGCACCTTCAGCCTCAGCTTCCTGAAGCCAGGTACTGTCACTGAACATGGAGGTACCAGCTGCTCCTCCATCACGCAGTCTGGCAGTCTCTCACCTCAGCTCCCAGCACAGGTGGGGTAAGGACAGGGCTGCAGATCCCAAGCCTCATGGGGAATCTGCCCGTAACAGGCATCAGAGCTCTCCTGCAGGAGAGGAGACCTGTGATATTTCCTTTTTCCCAGCCCTACTGGCATCATCTGTTCAATAACGTTTCATGTTATTAATCTATTATTTTCTTTTCAATGGGTAGGCTTTGAATGACAGCCAACATTAGTATTAGTCTCTAAATACCTTTTTGTTAGGAGTCCAAATCCTTTGTGTTCTCACCCATATATTACTTTCTATGCAGCAGATTTATTTTTGCACAGCATTTATTCCTGCAGGATCTGCTTACTCAGAAATTGCATTGTATAATTAGGTCCCAACTGCCTATTTCTAATCCTGAACAAAGGTTCACTTTATTGTTCATTTCAGCAATTCACATTTTCATTTTACTTCTTCCATGTACGATAGACATAATTAATTAGGTCCCATTCCACCAACCTTTCTATTTCCTGTGTCTAACGATCAGGTTTTAAAAAAAACTCTCCATGGTTTTATGTGTTGCTGGAGTAATTTACACATGTCCACCTGTAATGAAACTTAGGCATGAAGCAAAGGCAAGCACTAAGAGCTGAGCTCCTCTAACTAACAAACCCCGCTACAGATAAATAATGGGCCTATTGACTTACTGCAACTTGTAATTGAAATTTTACATATATTTTAGGCCCATCTGCATAGACTGAGGGGAATTTTTTCCTAAGGAAAATTTCCGGTCTCCTCATTTTATTTGTCCCATTTGGTAAAGTTCTTGCCTGTGAATGCATTGACTTCTCTCTCTCTCAGAAACAGTGAGCAGGTGACCATTGAGAAAGTTTTTGTGAAAGCACGTCGTCATGTGCCAGAAAAAAAGATGAGCCATTGGGCAGGCCCCATATTACAGTAACATCCAGCCCTGACTACTTTGCCTTGGATCTGTTTTTCTTTCCTTAGTATAAAAGGGCTCAGCCCCCTACATGTTAACCATAAATCTCAGCAATACCTTCATTACAACAGAACATATCTTATCTGAATGTGCTTTCTCCTGGTACCAGGTGGTCAGCCACAGCGCAGTTTCGACTTGCTGTTTTGTAGCATCGTTTGACATAGTAGTAACAAGAGATTAGGAACTGGAAGTTAATATGATGAGGGCATGTAATTACACAACTCCAGGGTCTGAAGGCCTTATTCAAAAGAGCGATCCGGCACTTAGGGATACCATCAAATGGATTGTGGTAGCATCACAAGGAATTGTGCTCTTTGGAAAGGCTGAAGGCTTTGTCAAACTGTGGTGGCTACCACCATTGCTATACAGAGCAGATAAACCTCGGTGTGCTTGAAACCGGGCAGCTCGGGGCGTAGGAGAAGCATGGCTGGGAAAGCACAAAACTCTGCTGGATGTAAAACCCACCCAAGAAGCTGGGTAAATGCTCCGGTGGCTTGCTCTGCGGAGGTTGCTGCTGCCGGCGAGCTTGCTGCTGGCGTCCTGGCTGGCCGCGGGCCAGTGCAGGGATGTCTGCACCGCTCTGCAGGCACAGCAGGGATTAGAGGGGCTGAGCAGTCAGTTGCACAAGATGATGTGTCTCCTGGGATCGGCTGGAGACAAATGACCAAGGGGTCCCATTTTGGAGCTCCCAGTGGTGGAACAAAGGCAGAGGCTGAGATCCTGTATCTGCTTCTGTGAAACTCACACTAAGCAAGGAAAAGCTGCACAGCTTGGCCCGGGGTGACAAAGAGCAGACTGGACCTGCTCAGATGAGCCACTTCCCATGGGTGGACGGGAGCCCTTGTGGCTTATTGGTCTGGCTCGCTGATCCATGCTCTGATGTCTGGGATCCTGCTAATGAAATTATCACATCTAGTAAGAGTCAAAGCCGCTTTGTGGGAACCATGAGTTTCCTGTCTTCTTTGCATTTGTGAAGAAAGACTTTGTCATGTTCCCAGGGTAGGAGTCACAATTTGCATTAGGAAAATATAAACAAAATTAAAAGATCGGCCCCATGATAGAGCCAGCACAACAACAACAGATTCAGGAAAGTACTAACTAAATGCTGCACAGCAGGCAAATTTTGATTTATATTTGTAAGCTTTTTTGGTTTCAAAATGCAGTATTCCCCCTCTTTCATCTCCAAAACCCCGCCAATACAGAACAGAAACATAGCTTTTGGCGGCCTTCATTTTTTAGCTAAACTTGTTTGTGTTCTCTCTTAGCGCTTGAAGCAGAGCAGTAGCAAATTACATTACTGCTTCTCAGTTTGTGACACGCTTGACCATGTTTTTTCAATAAAAATGACACCACTTAACTTTGCTGGGTCAGTAATGAAGCAGCAAGAAAGATTTTGTTTGGCAAGAAAAACTAGCTAAGAATCCAGAGCTTCTTACAGCTAAAGCAAAATAAAGGATTTAGGTTAATTAGACTATTTATGAACTCTAAACTCTTCCCTTAATTTATGTATTACGATGAAATGTATCTCCGTGGCCGCCTTGAGCAGTCTTCCACACGCTATGGGAATATTTTTCCCACTGGGCACGACAGCAGCGGTGCGCGGACACTGCGGAGCAGAGCTTGTCCCCTGGGGTACCGATGGGAGCCTTCGTGTCTGCCTAACCGAGCAAGAGGTATGTCCCTTTGCCATGAACTAGTACCGCAACCCAGCGCAAAGCATTCCCATCAGAGATGGCCAGCCAGCTGGAAGGGGGCAGGGCTAGGCTATCCTTCTAGGGCCATCTCAGCTTGGTGGAAACACCTCGTCTACACAACTTCCCTGAGGACCCAGATTTGAGTGCACCTCCATCACCATCCTGTTTCCAGCTGAGGGATGGATCAGCCAAATTGGTCCTGAGG